AAAAAATAATCGAAAAGATATCCTATTATAAAGACGGTTGTCCTAGTTTTACGTGGCCAGAGGTGATGCATTACTGGTGTACACTTATTTTCTGCATTAAAGTCAATAAAAATTTGCACTCAATTTTTGGGGGACTTTTTCTTAATTTTTTGACGAACAAAAATACAACCGATTGAATATGTTTCCGTTGAACTCGTCTTTGGGAAATCGTGATCATCTGACTTGCGGACTTTCCAAAATGAGGACGAAAGGCCAAAAACCGATTTGTGTCCTCATCTGGGGGCCCAATAACTATACTGTACTTAGTGTTGATCGTGTCAAAAAAACAGGTCGGGAGTTTCGTTCCAGCGACGTCGGCGGTGTTCCGCCCCACGGACAGGATCCTCTCCCGCATGGGACTCTCGGACTCGGTGGAGAACGATGCCTCGACCGCAAAAACCGAGCTGACGGACTTCCACTTCATTTTGCAGAGTGTGACGGACTCTAGTCTGGTGCTCCTTGACGAACTCGGACGAAGCACGTCGCCGGTTGAAGGGCCGCCGTTGTGCTGGGCGCTCCTGGAACCCATCGTGCGCAGCAAGGCCTTCACCGTCCTCGCCACGCACAGTCTGTTCCTCACACGCCTGGCGAACGTTCATCTCAACGTGTTCCTGCAAGTTTATTTCATGGCATATACGCATAGTCTTCAATCTTGATCGTTTCTTTTGAGTTCTGAGTTTAGTTTGAAACTGCGTGATGACCTCATCTTCAGCGACAATATGATACTTGACAGTATTTGAATAAATAACCCAACAGCTGCTGCTGGTCATCGGCAGCACACGAAAGATGTACTGTACTTGCTTACGTGGGTCCCCGCATATTACGAAAACCCCGCTCAAAGTGTTGTACGGGGAATAAAGTGATTGACGTAACGGAATTGTTTCTTTCACAAACTTTTTTTTTGTCTGGAAAACGCTAAAATTTTGGAAAATTTTGGGCTGGAACTTGGTTACTTGAAAAACATTATGAAAGAAGGAGATCATATCTTTGCCTCTTGCTCGTCTTAAAACATTTGGAAGATTCAGAAATTTGAGAGCACTTTTCATGATTTGAATTGAATATTAATGAAATCAATAAAATTACGAATTGAACTGAGAAAAAAGGAGTTTTACGGGTTATCATTGTCTTTTGACGAGTTTCTGGAATGAATTAAATAATATATTTTATAATTCAACCTTGATGAGCAGGAACTTGCGTTTTGCATTTAAAAAAATCTACATAACAAAATGCATCCAGAATTGGATTGATTTTGTCATTTGGGGACCCACTGCAGTCACCCTGATATTTGAAAATTTTGAGGGCCAGCTGTTGCACAACACATGAACCTCTTTGAGTAAAATTCTAGGGTACCCCCAAAAATTGTTGGCTTTTATGCAGAGTTCTCAAGTTTGACAAACCAGGACCAGCAAAAAAATTGAGAAGGGAAACAGCATTTTTTTATGTACTGTATATATAAATACAGGTGTAAGGAATTACAGGAAGCTGAAATCTGTGATTTTTTGCCTGAAACTGCAGAATATCTGAGTTGACCAGGTGCTAAATTTGGAGGAAAGGGTTCATTTGTCCAATTAGTCTCTCACTTCTTTTCAAAACACGTTGTTACATTTTTTCTTCCTTTTTACTTCCGCGTGTGTCGATGGAATAAGAAGGCCTCTAGAAAATTTGAATATTTAATGGATCGAGGTTTGAGGAGAAATAAATCACCAAGAATTATGGAATTTTTAATGTATTGTTTCGAAGGGAATTCAGACTTGAAAAAATGTTCGACATAATAAGGTACTCATAGATTGACTCAGTACGAGTCGTTGAGGTTCAAATTTACAGTAATTCATATATGAGAAATAATGAAAGTGAGACCCCGAGATGCGGACGTAATTGGTGCATCAAGAGTGTCTCTGAGTTGAAATGTCCCTAAGTTGAGTCTCATTTTCCCTTAGACTTAAATTATATAATTTTTTAATTGGTGTTTTATGCACAAAATACTCACCATAATCCCATGAAAATAAAATTTGTCTCCCAATTTAAACTGATTCCAATCAATTTATTTCAATACAATATGGGCATATAGGGAATTTAATACTGATACCTCTGTACAGTACTTAGAAATGTTTGCATTCTCTGTAAAAATAATATTGAAGTAAAAAAGAGAGAAGGAAGTCCCTCTCCGCTGGAGGTAATTTTTTTTAATTAACTAAATGGATGGTAAATTGGTGAGAGAAATGCCCAAGAACTTTTCTTATACAGCTGCGGAACGTTAGCCCCTCCAGTGATCACGGTATCTCATCTGCACCGTGAGAAGCGAGTGGTAAACTGAACGATGTATCCTCCTCAGCCAATCTATTTACATTATCAATTAATCTTGACTTTTCTTGTAATTTGTCCTGATATGTATTTGCAATTTTATAAAAAAATGTCCCTGTGTTGAGTCAGTGTCCTCATGTCGAGCCTTTTTTATTAATTTTTTATGATAAAATAAGAGTCCCCATGTCAAATTGTCCGCAGGTCGAGGTGTCCGCATGTGGATGGGGGTCTCACTATACAGTACAGTGTACAGTAGCGCGTTTGATCGTTTACTTATTTATTTTCCAATGATCTTGCATGTTGTAGAATGAAGATGGACGCATCATTGGTAACTGACGTCGCCGACCGACCGGATTTCCCCGTCGAACTCAAGGTGTCCCATCGCCTGAAACCGGGCATAGTGGAAATCAAGAACTACGGCATCCTGTCCGCGGCGGACGTCCTGCCGTCGGAGGTGGTGAAGGCCGCCGTGTCGCTGTCGGGGTCTCTGAACGGCCAACTCGACGAGGATTCCGGCGAGGATCCTTGGGCCAAACCGGGTCAGCGGGAGATCAGGATAAAGCACGACTTCTGCTGCGACGTCAAAAGGCTTTTGGATTTGAGGAAAGTGTTCGGCTGGTCTCTGACGGAGTACAAAGAAAGATTCGAGGAGCTCAGATCCCGGACGGCTGAGGAATTGGAACTTCTGCGGGAACAGCAGGAAGATCAGTCAGCAGCTACAGATGAGCATCAGAGCAGTTTGTGATGAATTTTTGCGATGCCTCGCATCATCGTGATCTAGAATTTGTTGCCTGTGCATCATGTGATACATGGAAGCTGAAGTATACGTACTGGATGTAATAATCATCATGTCACTATACAGTATATACATAAACCACAGAATCACATGGATGATGAATGTTTTCAGGCCCATGAAGGCATTTTCTTATATTTTGCATATCATTCTCAATAACAATTATGATAAAACCAGTTCCGTATATAGTGTTGTAAAATTATAAATTAAGGAAACTCCCGATATAAACAAATTCGTTATGCAGAGACGAAATTCGTTGTAGAAAATATATTTAAAAGAGAGAGAGTTCGTTTGAATGAGGAATTTTCTCTCTACAACAACATTCGCAGGACTGCAGAAAAAATTCGTAGTGCTTGGAGAGAATTTCGTCGTAGATGAGAGAATCATTCCAACGGTATATGTAAAAGGAGTTTCCTTCATTTATATAGCAGCTTCAGGGAATTCAAGGGATTAGAAAAATGATGTTGTGGGGAGAATTTCTTTGTATTAGATAAGGGCTGTAATTCGAGGGAAAATAGAAAAAATTCGTTGCATGGAGAAAATTTAGTAACGTCTTAACGTGGGAAGATACCCATATTATGTAAGATTGTAAGGGACCGAAAAATCGTTATGCAGAGAGAATTGTTTTATAGACATGTAGAGACAGTTATAATACTTGCATTCCTGATCATGTTTGAGAAGTTGAGAAGTTATTATAATTTTTTTAAACTTATCTCAGCATGTATATATAAATTCCAACTTGAAAATGCTGCTCCCTCCAAAATTGACTGGAAGAGGTTTGACTGCAAACAATACAGATGGTACCTAGCAATCCGACCCTAATCTGTTTCCAAACTAGGGTCGAATTGTGAAGTGGTTGAATTGTGAGACGCTCCATGAAATTAAAAAATATAGGTACAAATGGCCAAAACAGGTCAAATTGCAAGGTACCTTTTGTAGACTCAACTTTTCCAGAATTTTGAGAAATGGGTGTGCATCAACCTTAAAAAGGGTAGAAATTATTGCATTTAAAGGAAAGCTTGCTTTACTCTTCTCCCATAAGTCAAAGCATGCATTGTTGTTCAGAACTGCAGGAATCTATACAGTATATCTGTATTTCTCATCCATATACTGTAGTCTTTTTAGTTTGCACACCATATTACTGTATTATTCAAATATTTTGAGGCTGTGCATGGATTATTCAAAGAATTCGAATATCTAAAAAATGTTGTATACTGATAATGAGAATTTTTGGGAACATCAATGTTCAATTGGCACCATCCCTAGGTGGCTGAAATACATTGTCAGGCCCAAATTTCCCAACCTTGTCAGACTAATAATCTTAATTGTTGCAAATTAAACTTGTGGAATATGGTTGTCAGGAAAAACCTTGTCTTCACATATTGCCCAAGAGGTTGGGATTTCAGAGATTTTTTGGCTGTAAATATGAGGTTGGTCCAGTTGTGAAGTGCAGGAAGATTTTTTTTACAAGTTTGCTCCAGAGGAGAGGCTTGACAACAATAATCCAGAGTTGGAATGACAACATTATTTCACCATTCCCCAATGAAAGTTGAAATTTGGCCAATTTGCAATTTATATGAATACTGTGGACCCTTCGTAGTTTTGTATTCCTGAGATGGAGTAAAAGGAGATACCAAAATCATTTTGAAGAAACTTCTGTGATGCACATGCTATGTCATGAGGTTTGTGTCATGCTGTGTTCAAAGCACAAGCGTTGTGTCATATCATACTGATGGATATATTCTGTTTGTTGCGCTGATTACATGACAGAACAATGCATGTCGAAAAATTTCAAATTCCTACCTGAGGTCATAGTGCGAACTGTGAAAACAATAAATTAAAGTGGTGAAAAAAACACATGAGTCGATCACCATCCAACGTTCTTTTATTTTTATTCTCACTTCGCGGGATCAACACCTTTGGAAATACCCTGCATCACTATCAACTTAATCCATGGTAAGCAACCCGTAGCCATGTACTATGCAGTATAAGATGAAGGGTGCTGCAATGAACATTGTCGAACTATATTAGACGGGAGAGTTCCAGCGAATTCCAGACATATAAACACAAACGCAATGGCAGGAATTTTATGCGAATCTGCAAAAAACCGCGGGTAGTTTCATATAAGAAGAATCCGTGGGAAAATCCACCAATACTCTAGAAAACAGCGTCGAGGCACACAAATTATCTAAAAAAAACCGAATAAAATACATATAAATTAACAAGTTACAATCCCTTTATTTGGATTTTTTTAGAAATTTCCCAAAATTGAAACGCTGTATTGCAACATTGTTAAACTTAGAAATGTTGTTAAAAGAATCGATAAATCTTCATCTCATCACAATTTCTTCAAAAAGAAACGCGCGAAGCAGTTTTTCAAGCAAAAAAAAAGGAGAAATAACTCATGACCTTCCATCGCGATGTCGCTCCAACTACAAGGAAATTCAACGCAGCACACTCCAAATTCTCTAAATGCAACTTCGTGAGGGTCAGTGGGAATTTCTGAAGAAACAAATATTCCTTCTTCCAATCAGGACATCGATTCCGCTTCTGACTAGTGACTCATGATCCCCCCTGGATCTCTGCAAAGAGCTCCTCAGGGACTAGCTACAAGGTTACAAGTACAAGTCGAAGGGTAAAAAGCGCCCTCTATATATGTTCAAACTTTGTACTTCCTCGTCGGAATTTCTTCAGCACTTCTGAAACCTTTTAGAAGAGGCGGAGGTAACAAATAAAATGAATAAAAAAAAACAAGAAGCTGATACTGACACGTGTTTTCGGTTGAAAAACTGTCCGAAAGCGCTTCACTTTTCAACGACAGTCGGGAAAACTGTTTCCCATGGATCTAAATGGAAACGAGGACGGAGAGTGCAATAAAAAGTCCAGTGAGAAACTTTTACTAAGAATCCAAAAGCTTTAGCGAAGTTCAACACGCAATACGCTGCTCGCAGCAAAAATAAGACACGAATCTCTTGTTTAGTGGAAAATCATCTGTTGCTTCAGTCAGTCATTACAAATTCATCACAGTTTAATCGAAACTACATCAGGAAGGGGAGGCTGGTGCAAAACAAAACAAAAAATAACAATGACAGAACTCAACCCCGACCAGCAGCAAATGACAAGCGGAGCCCTTGGCAAGACGAAGTTGCGAAATGGTTCTTTTCCAAAGCTTGATCCTACCGGACATTGATTATCAAGCGGTCTTCTTTCTTCCTTTTAGCTTCCCCGGTTTTCCCTTGTCTTTGGCCAAACACCGCGGACAGAACCATTTCTCATCCACAGGCTCTTCAACAATACCAACACAAACCCTGGAAACAGAAGCGATAAATTTGAGCAATTTCTTCAAAAGAATTGAACACAATCTTTGAAAAGGCCGACGCTTACCAATGGTACCAATCGTCACAGGAATCGCAACCGATCATCGGAGTGCCATCATCCACGCGTCCACAAAACGGACAAATCCAGATCTTGTTTCCTTCCGCGTCCTAAATTTTTCAAGACATTTTTCATGAGCGGATGAGTGAAGGTTCAAGAAAATCACTACTTTCATATTTTATCAAAAACGAAAAACTGAACACAAATGGATCGCATCATTCTCAAGAGAATTGTACCGTATTTACTTGATTACCACGCGTGCCCCATTTTAATGAATCTGAAACCACATTTCAAAAATAGGAACACACAAATTTGGATTCAGACCATTGAACATGATTTCGACTAATTTTTACCTTTTCCATCAAAATATGTTTTCCTGGTCCACAATTTCCCATCAGGTTACATGCACACCTAAATTTCTACAATTTTTTTTTTAATGTATACCCGCTTATGACGCGCACCCCCTTTTTCCCACTTCCCAAGTTTAAGGGATTAGGTTTGCGTGATATTCGAGTATATAGGGGTGCTGCATTTCAAGTCATTTTAGTCACAATCTCTTTCTTTTCAAAAGTCATCCAGTCAAGAGTATACCGTATAACGATGAGATACGAAGAGTATCTTTGACGGACTACTACTACACTGCTCTTGATGCAAAAATGAATGAAATACAAATATATACTGTATATATGCTGCAGTTTTATTTGCAATATTTTCCGATCTGGGTAGCCAGATTTCAGATATCCCCCCTGGAACAGATCACGTTCAAAAATAGGAACACCACCGTTATCTTTCATACAACTAAAACGTCTCTCTTCGGTTGAATAATAATACCCCTCTTACATACAAATATACCAATTTGAATCGAGTACAATAAATGGTTAAAACAAAACATCAACAAAACGCTGATCACCGTGCTCACCACGTAAGATCCCACAGTTTCCGTAATCAACCCCGCGTCTTCCTTTTTCTTCAAGCCCTTATCAAGCTTCTTCAAAGGCTGCGCAGCCGAGGCGGCCGGAGGTGCCGGCGCCGCCGCAACAGCAGGGACCGGAACCACCGCCGCCGCCGCCGCAGACGACGACGCAGAGCTCGATGCCATCATCTGCATGCTCAACTTGCTAGGTCTTCCTCTGCCTCTCGGCTTCCCTGGTGCTGCCGACGACGCCGCCGAATCTACCGTCGCCGCCGTCACTGCAGGTGGTTCTGACGGCGCCTCCACCACCGGCACAGACGCCACCGAGCCGCTGCTCGGATTCAGTTTGGCCTTCTTCAGCTTCGGCTTCTTCTCGATCAACTTATTCTTGCTCTTCTTGCTTTCGGGGTCCGGAGTGGCAGTGATGGGGGCGTCTTTTGGCGTCGGCTGGTCCGCCGTCGATTTCGACGCGAGATCCGGTTTCTTGATCGGCTTGATGGTTCTTCGGGGAAAATTCAGAACGATGAATACACTTACGCAATAAATTAATTGCGATGAAAAAAAATACAAAAAATTTAGCTACGGAAGATCTAACGCTGAAAGCACTATTATACAGACAGGTTTTTCTAAAAAAAAAAAAATCCGTCGGAAATTTTCACATTTTCGCAATTTAACTGCGATTTGAGTAACGAACCATTTTAGGGAAAATTAAAAACTATCCCAGAAAACTGGGTACATGAATCTGCAACAGGAGCAGGTTACTGGGTTAAGGGTACTGTAGTTAGTATTTTTATGAACTAACCTATTAACGACATGAAAACAGTGGTGCTCCAAATAATGGATTAGTCGCATAATGGATCATCTTTTCGCACAAGTCACTTGGACAACAACCGATTTTAGCTTCAGGTGAAATACCGTATTTCAAATAATTAAATGCATGAAAAGTGATCGTCCTTCGAAAATTTCTTTCACTGGGGAAAGCGACTGACAAGATTATTTTTAAAAATTCCGATGAAAGTTTCTTTGATACTTCTGAACTTTCTCCCGGGTGTTTTCCCTTCTGTTTTCAGTTGAAATTAATGAATTTAATAACGAAATTTCCGAGAGATACGAGGTGAAGCAGCTATACTCATATTTTTTCATTCAAAGAACTTTCGGCGATAATTAGTAATTCTGAACACCATAAATAATAACTTAGTTTTTGAAAAATAAATTTCCATTGGAAGGGAGAAAGTCCTTTAACCGAGGCACAACTTTACTCTGAAGGCTATGAATCTCAGCAGACACAGAGACCCTCTCGTGTAAAAATGATATACGGCTAAAAACCCCAAATTCAACCACTAATCCTTTCTCCTAGGGATTTCGAAAAAAAGGAGAGAAAAAGACTCAAGTCTACGAGGACTACACAATAAAAAACTTTCTCAAGCGCGGGAATAATCTCATGCGGAATGCAAAAAAAAAACATGCATTAGTGAAGAACAAAGGTATTTTCGCGATTCAACAACAACAAAAACAAGAGTGAATAACCCAAGTGGCCGGTCCTCAGAATAAAAGTGGTCTAACAAAACAACTGAACCACCACCGAATGGAAATCGAAGGATAGCTTTCGTTTTGCCATTTGCCTAGTACCTTGGTGCTCCTTCTTGGACTTCGCTAAAATATCCGTTTGTGTGCAGTTGAGGACGGCCGCAAGAGACGAAGATGCGAAACAGACGCAAGAGGAGAAAACACGCATGAGAATGGTTTTTTTTTCTTTCTCCCGACCAACGATCATGGAGATATTCCCCACCCTTCATTTTATTTTTAGAATGCTCGGGCATATATCAAACGTCACCCCAAATGAAAAACACGACGAAAATATAGTAAAATCCCCGAATTATGCATCACAAAATGTTCCCCAAAAATCAAAAAATTGGAAAATACTTAACGAATTTTGATTGGAACTTCAATTGTTGAATTCAAAATAAGAGATATTAAAATTAAAAAGCAATTAAAATTATAGCATACTTTTTCATGAAATCAATAAACCTAGAAATACAAAGTTTATCCAATAAAACAAATTGGGCAATGTAAAAAATAAGCTCCGGCAAAATCATTATTTTCCCTTCGAAATCTTAACCCCAGCCATCGAATGAGTCTTATTCAAGATGGCTAAAATGAAAATCAATCGCTAGATCAAATACGGTATGCAGCATAAAACTAGATGTGTTATTGAATCTAAAATGTAAAAATAATTCAAGAAAGAAAGAACACTTCGCACAGTATTTCCGATACAAGTCCAGAAAAACGTGAAGCGGAAAATAAGCCCTCGTCAGCATTACTGAAATGGAATGCTAGCCTAAATAAAAATCTTGAAATACTGCTTAAGAATTGATTACCGAGAGATCTAATTTTTAACTAAAAAACGAAATTAATAAATTTACGGCTGTACATTGAAATTTGTTGATGTAAGTTGAGAACATCCCTTGCAAACAACATCAAGCGACGGAATTATCCGCTCAATTTCAAAATGCTTAGTTTTACTTTTTTCATCTTCGGCAATCCAAGACTCACAGTTCTTAAAACTATTAAAGCTGGATATCACAGAAAAATTCGCGCATCATTCAGTTGATGCACACTGGACACATTATAATACAAAATCATAGCGTTTTCTTTTTCTATATTTGAAGTCAAAAGTGCAAGAAACGCTGCTATAATTTCTAAAAAAAAAAAAAAAACAACAACAATGTAGTGCAGTATGTATAGCTCTGAAAAATTTATTAGAATCTATCATTCTATCGTAAATGACGGGATGATCCCAAATCGAGCTAAACGAGTGTAATTAATTATAATTTAGATTAACAGGCAAAAGTGACGAAACAGTGTGAAGCAAAAAAAAAAAATTCAAGTCCCACGATGTTCGGCGCTTGTGAGCAATATAAGCAGAAAAGACTAAGACTTCACTCGTAAACAAAGAAAAAAAAAAAAGCTGCCCGAAAGCTTCGTAACGTTCTCCATCGAATCAACGGTACAGTGAACGTGTGACGGAAACTTACATCTTGGGTTTCACCTCAGACGAGGCTTTTGATAAAGGTGCTGGAGGAGACACCACAGGAGTTGCTGCTGTGACGTTGGTAGTTGCTGCTGCTGGTGGTACCGGGGGAGAGGACTGGAACGGCGACGGACTCCTGGACGGACTGAGGTCTTTCCCTCCAGAAATTTTCAACGTCAATTTTGGCACTGATCTTGCAGCTTCCACACTCTGAGAGATGGGGAAAAATTAGCAGAAATGACTAATGAAAACCTCAATTTAAATTTCTGATGCTTCGTGAATCATCTCAATACTTCAACACGCTTTTCTAAAAACGTTCTACAGTAAGACATAGTCGTTGTAAAGTACAGAAAATCTCCTGTCGATACACTCAAGGAATCAAATAACGATTCAATACACGGTACAGATAGTATTGTCGAAGAGCAACTTTTTATACGGGATCGCCTGGAATATTTCAGAAACATTTTTCAAGAAACATTCAGTACCTGAGGTCGACTTTAAAAATTGCATTCGAAATCTAATTAAATTTAAATTTTATCGTTTTTGAACCTTGTTTCAGAAAAAAAGCGTTCAGAATTTATGAACGAAACATGCCAAGAATGCGAAGAAGTACTGCAGCTGAGATTTACTTACGGTGTTATTGGTAGGAAATATCGACAGATTATGATATAAGTTATAACAGCTGCAAGACTTAAGGATATCGCACCTAATTAGCGTCTCTTGACTTGGGCTGAATAAACTATATTGTGAACACCGCAGAATGTAATACAGCATACCTCAGCAAAGCTTCGCACGGAATCCATTTCCAATTTCGTCTTCTTCTTATCTTTTTTCTTCCTATTCTCTTCTTCTTTCCGGCGTTTCTTCTCTTCCTTCTTCTCCTTTTTCTTCTCTTTCCTCAGTCGCTTTTCTTTTTGTTCTTCAGCTTTGGCCTCTTGACTTTTGGAGACCTGAAAAAAAGAGAAAAAATTTACTCACAGGATCAATCGAAAGATATTGTACATTGCGGGAGAATTATAATTGGGTAAAAGGCTTAAAAGATTAATTGCCGCGTAGCGAACGCCTAATTCCCCACAACCATTTGGCAGAAAAGATTTCTGAAATTGCAATCCGAGACCATGTGCACGCAAAAGCATCAAACTCGATGACGACCTGCGGAGAAATCCATGAAAGAACTGAACAATGCGAAATCCACAACGCAAGAAAGGTAGTAAATAATCTGAAGCTAAAATCCGGCTTGTATCCTATCGTCTATGACGCATCTGGACAAAATCGTCGTGAACAGCTTTCCGAAAATTACCACTATATTACTACAGTATGTGTACTGTAGAAGAATTCTCTATAACTTGTGAAGCCTATTAGTACTCAATTAGAGTATGGTACGTTATAATGGAACTTCGCCCTCCTTCAGAAAGTATCCGACGCACTACACTTCTTAAAATATACACATAAAAACATGCAGTAAAATCCCATCAAAACAAACATATTGGTAATGACCCAAACTAAAGCCTTGGAATTCTTCATGAGTACTAAATACATTGGCGCTGTTTCTGCATGCGACCTATCGTTAATATGCACGGTTCACCCGAGGCCGTATAATCAAGTGTTTCGTTGTACACGGAGACTAGACAAATAATGCGCTTTGCTAGAAAAAAAATCCTTGATTCAAAGAGAAAATGAAGTACTGTATCTTTAATTCTCCAAATCCGCACTTGCTTTTTTGCAGATTTTTCTTAAAAAGAAAATTTTAGCGCTACTTATTGCAGCTGATCTTTATTTGTCCAATTTATGCAGCACTTTAGTGAGGTGATTACGAAAAAAATTCACCTAGAAATGTGCCATTATTCAACTCCTGACACAAATTTAAATCAAGTATTGCTTCGTGACGTTTAATCTTTTTCGACTACAGTATATTCGTCGTCCAGTTGAAACGCAATAATATTCCTGCATAGAATTTGTGGGTACGGTATGAATGTCTTATCCGCCGAAAGCGCAAAAAAACTTGGAAAAATCTTTGGTTTCGTTAAATAAGACACTACTGTTTCCTTCCACATGTCACCAACCATCTGATTTAAGGGGATTTTAATGCTAAAGATAAATAAACATGCGAAATCTCACCGAAACTTGGGGAGCAGAAGCAGGCGTTTCGGGCCGCGACAATGACGAATGAGAGCCAGAAGACGCGGGGCGCGGGATTGGGGAGTCCCTGCCATCAACGTCTCCTGGAGGAGAGCCCGCACTTGGCACAATCCGAGGTACACTATTATTCAGTCCAGGCAACAAAGTTGGTTTGAAGGGCATGAGCGATGGGTGAGCAACAAACGTCGGCGGACCGCCAAAAGGCGGCGGTCCGGCGGCTTTCGGTAAAAAGTTCGGTATGAAACTTGGATGAGCAGGCAGAGACGAGAACACTGACGAATACAAATTCGGACCCGTTTCGAGCAACGGTGGCGACGCGACTGGCTTTTCGTCCACCTGTGGAGCAGGTGGTGGTAGCGGCGGAGGCGTAGGACTTCGTCGGAGAGGTTTCGTCGCCACCGGCGGAGGTGGTGGTGGTGATTTGGGTCGCGGCAGCTCCTGCGGTGGTGGTGCTTGCTGTTGTTTTTCTTCGGCTTCGGAAGATGACGGAGAGGACGCCACCATGGCTGGCGTTTTACTCTTCGTTGCTACACTCGGACGCATCTTTTTCCGCTTTTTCAATCCCAATCCCTGTTCTATGACAGGTTCGCCCGACGGGATGCGACTTTTCGGAATCACTTTCCGCTTCTTCGAAGGTGCTTCGCTGTCCAAGCTGGACTCATCGGACGAAGGTCTTCTGCGTTTGACCGGCTCTTCGATCTTCACAGGCACGACTGAAGGCAAGGCTGGAACTTCTTTCACCACGCTTTCCTTTATCACTGCTGGTAAAGCGTTATTTGTTGGCAAGGGACGATCCACATTCGCCTCTTGTTTCACGGTAATGCCGATTTCGCGACCAGAAAGCTCAGCATCCACTCTCAAGGCGGCTTTCGGGATCAGAGGCGGCATTTGCGGAGAACTTCCGCGCCCATTCGCCAGGCTTTTTGTCTTCGGCGGACGACCCGCTTGTCGTTTTATCACGTTTTTAGGAACACTGTCTCCGGGACTGTTCTTGGGCACAAGCATGGGCATCTTCGGGGACTTCGTGCGCTTGGACATCAGGGCGACTGTCGGCGGTGTTCGGATGAGATTGTTGGACGCTGGCATCGCACGTATGAGCGATCTTCCACCTCGAACATTTCTTCGGGAAGGGATTCTGCCGGGTCTGCCTTGGAATGATTTCTGCTCGCGAAGAGCAGCAGGAGTAGGTGGCGGGCGAACTTGGGCGTCGTCGTCGAAATCGAAGGGTCGTCTTCCGGCTTTGCTTTCGCCACGACTGAAGTCCTTCATCGGAGCAGGACGGGGTTTAACGTTCTCACGATTTTCAGGAAGGATTCCTGCCTTCGTATCACGGATTTCTTCGTCACTGACTTCTTCGAGGAAAGGACCTTTGTCCAACCAAAAGGCCATCCGCGACTCGGGATGTTTTCCCTCACGGGCGGGGGATATGAAACCTCCAGTGGTCATCATGACACTGGAGATTTCCCGCATTTGGCGGACCAGTTGCTCTTCAAATCTTCGCATAAAAGAATAAATACGACTGAAGATCAAGGAAGCACAAATTCCGTTGGAAAAAACTCGAGGGGGGGGGGGGGGGGGGGAAAAAAAATTCTCTT